ATTTCTCTCTTATGAAGTCGAATTAACACTTTTTTATTTTCGAAATGTAACATTTTCTTTTGGGAAAGGGTTAAACTCGACAAACAAAGACTAATCTAGGTCAAGCAACTCTACAACCATCATAGAAAAATTAATTGATTCACACCATGAATGTTGAAGAATGTAAAATCTCACACCGAAAAATTAATATATAAGTGAGCGGCTCCATTAGAGCATTTTTATCTCAGCAATCTAGCCCAAGTAAAAAAATTGAAAAATATCAATGCAACTTTTTTATAAAAAAATAAAAAAAATCAGAAATATTTTTTTTATACATACCTAGCAATTTTTATTTATTTTTATTAACTCATACATATAAATCTAATGGGTGAAAAAGCAAAATAAAAAAGGATAGGCCAATCACTATTCTCGAACAATATTACCATGAAGCTCTGTAGTTCAATTTTTATTTCAGCATGGATGAGTAGTGGGGTACATAGAAATTTGAACTACAAAATTTAATAGGTTAGGCTAGTATTAAATTGCATCTAACGTTCGAGAGTTTGATGGAAATGCATTTAATGATGAGGTTTCATTTATAATTGCAGGAAGAAAAACAGAATTCACGCATATGATTTGAAAGCTAAATGCATATGATGGGTAAAATTCAAGTAGGTTTGATGAATAAATGCATGAAGTAGTTTGCACAAAATGCATCTAGCAGTTAAAGTTGTGAATGAAATTTGAAAAAAGAACAACAAATAATATAAAATGTGTAGCACTGTCAGTTTTTGTTATATAAAAAATACAAGCGATAGTAAACTATAAGGGGAGGAGGTTTCTAACACACAAAAACTAGTAAGATGCCAGAAGGGTTCGAACATGAGATCACTGATCTACAAGTCAATGTTATTTTTCACTCGACATATATTTATAAATAAATGAATAAAATAGATTTGTGGATTTGTGAGTGGTTTTCTTCGAATAAAACAAAAGCAACAAACAACTTGGAAGTAATCAGATTCCCCCAAAATCAAATTGGATCAACTGGCTAATGATTAGCAGACCAGTAATGAGACATTAGCTCATCAACTTGATGGCCTGCCTAATCAATGCCTTCTATATAAATACATTCAATTAGAATGTTGCCTTTGTAGTGGTGTTTAATTAAACCCCAATTATACAAACATGGCTGACTAATCACACAATTAACAAACGAGAACGATAATGAAGAAAAAGGAGTAAGAGAAAGGGACTGGGAATAATTTTTTCATTTCTGGAACACTGCAAAAACCGCTTTCTTCAGGACACGAAGATACAGGGATCTAAAGAGAGGGCCCTAGGCATATACATAGAGCTCCCTTTTGATCTGTATTTTGTGGTGGTGATTCTTGCGACGCACGTAACCCAGATTGGAGATATAGATTCTCCTTGACAATTATTGGTTCAATCCAATTGAACAAGTTTCCTGACTGTTGTTTTTCCATCAGGTCACAGCTTGGAATTGCAAGTTCCAAACCAAAAAAAAAAATAGTAAAAAAATATTAAAAACAAAAGAGCAAAAGGCAAATACCACCAAATGCATGAAAGTCCAAATTTTTTAGAGACTTGAGTTAAAAAGCCTATAATAAGCCACACCCTCTCCCCCAACTGTTTCATATTTGCCTGTTCCCTAGGCTAGGCTAGGCTCGGCCAGGCTATATAGATTTCTTATTATTTGCTGCAATAAAATTCATTATCCTGATCAGCTTGTCTGCTCTGCATCTGCAAGTTTGAAACTTTAAGACTGCAATTTCAACATGCTGATGCCACTGCTTAATGTTTGACCTCAGAGCACTGACAAATGTACACCCACTGACTAGTCTTAAATCAAAACCAAAAACCAAAAACATATTTAAATTCATTTACTTTGCTTTTGATTTAACCTTGGTGACTTCGGTTGGAGCACCAAAGTTGAAAGGCACAGAGCACCAAGTTAACCCTGGTACGCGTGTGGGGTTGAAAAAAACACAAAGCAAAGCCAAAGCGCCCAAAGCCTATTGGCATGGGATTAAACAAATCAACCCAATTGAAAAAAAAAAAAAAAGTGAACTAAAAACAGAAGCAAAGACCCTTTATCAGGCTTTGGAATATGCATCAGATGAGATCAGAGACAGACTAGGCAAGGCAAGGCAAAGCAAAGCAAGCAAGGCCCTGAGAAAAGTTAAAGAGGGCAGAATTTAAAAAGAAATCAAAACAGGGTAAAGCTTACCATCCATTCCTCTCATACATTACCTCTCTGTCTCTCTGTCTGCTCTTGTGAAACTTCGTTATCTATCCATTCTCTCTATTGGGTTCACTTTACTTTCATTTTTTAACCAGTGCCCTATACTATTTGTGTATTTTTGCTCTGCCTTTGGATCCCCATACCCCTACTTTATTGCCTCTCTCTCTCTCTCTCTCTCTCTCTCTCTCTCTTCCCATCTTTCCTTTTAAATAGGTTATCATAAACCCACGCTTACATTCACAGCAAAGAAAAGGAAGGGAAAGGGGCAGAGAAAGACGACGCATTTTGAAAACTCTTTGAGGCTCTGAGGTCAAAAATCCTGTGTTTCTTCAACGTTGCGAACTTTAAGCTCAAATGGATCAAGTAAGCCCTGTTTTCCCATTACACTACTTGCAAATTTCATTCCCCTTTGGGTTTGATCTTCTTCTTGTTTGTTATCATCTCATTTGACCTTGTGGGTTTCTGTAAATTTCAGGACTTTAGGATGATGAGAAGCCAAGTGCCAGCCTTTGGAAGCTGGGATTGGAACCAAGACCTCCCATTTACTCAGTGCTTTGAGTCAGCAACGCAAGCTGGGCTTCTGCGCTACACCAGTTACTCTGATGAGGATCGTGATTTATATGTTGCTGGTGATTTGTACGAGAACGACGTCGTCACACCTGCCATGATTGTTGTTCCTCGCAGAAGGGTAAACTTCAAATCCATCCCTTTTTTATTTATCCACCTCTTGTTTTTCCAAGTCCAAATTTTGCTTCAAAAATGCCACATTGATTATTAAATCTTATGTTGTTGGTGACAAATTGCAGAACAAAAGTCGTCAGTCAAATGTGAAAGAAGCAAAAGAGCAAAGTTGGGTGGTGAGTGATGTGAAGGAGCCACCAAGCCCTCCTCCCAGGCACAGGCCTACCCCCAAGCCTGTGGATGAAGACTTGTACAAAATCTCACCAGAGACTCTCTATGCTAAAACCAGAAAGGTAAAGCTCCACATTTATAATAAGTCTCTTCCCTTTTGAGAAAATTTCATGTGCCTCTGAATCAAATTGCCTATCAGCCAACTTTTGTTCCAACCTCTTTTTGACCTTCACTTACAATAAATCTTTCTTTTCTCTTCAACTTTTTGGTTGCAGAAGAGAGGGTTTGGCTTCTTTTCAAGCTGCTTGCTGCCAACATGTGTTGCGTGAAGCAATGAACAAGTTTACATCAGACCTTTTAGTGAACATATGAGAGAGAAAAAAAAAAAAAGTAAAGTCGTCTAGTGGTTTATGTAAAAGTGTTTGTAGCTTAATATTACGAACATATATATTATATGGTTTGTCTGAGAATTCCTCACTCATGTGATGTGAGTATGAGGAGACGGTGGGTTCATATTTAGTTAACTACTGAGGGATTATTTTGTCTTTCTCCTCGGCAGTGGATTTGGGGAGTTTGTAACTTCGCTTTTTTCGATTATTTAATATAAATATCTTTTTAGAAAATACTTCTCTACAATGTAGGACTGTGACGTGTGTTTTTTTGGGTGTGTTTTTGATGAATTATTTTTGCATATGTGTCGTGATTTGTAAAAAGAATTAATATCTCCTTACCGATAACAGTGTTGGAACTTGCAATTCATAACTGGTTGTAAAAAGAAAAAAGGGTTTTTTTTTTATGTGGGGTTTAATTTGTTTTTTGGTCAGATATGTGGGGTTTAATATTTGAATATTCCATCTCATGAAAAAAAAAAAAAAAGGGGGTGAGTGAAGGGTGTGTTTGGGTTGGATGCAAAGACTTTTGCAAAGGAGAAAAGGTATATCACATGTGGGGTATTGAATATTTCATTTTGATGATAAAAGGAAAAGGAAAAGGAAAAGGAAAAGAAAAGAAAAAGAAAAATAGGAGGCACTATATAACACCCACCCAGAACAGTGATCGATGATACAAAAGATACCCAATACACGTAACTTGGGATAAACTTTAGGTGTGGGAAATTGAAATGGCCATGAAATTATTTGATGGAGACTAGAGATTTTAGATGTGATTTTGTTTTAGATGAATAGATTAGATAGGCGTGATTTCTTCTCATCATGGTTGCTTTATTTCTTTTCTAAAGTAGGAGGCATGTGGGGATGGAGAAAAAAAGATGAACTGTTCAAATTATAAAAGTAGACCTTGCATCTGAATGTGTGAAAGGATAAACAGAGACGATTAGGTAGCCTTGTTTTTATTATTAAAGAATGAAAAACTATCGATATTGTCGAAAATGTATCGATAATATGTCGTTATGTTTCGTTGGCGATATAGAGAATTACGGGACTACACTTAAACAAGATTGGTCAACCTTTGGTAAACTAATTAACCACCCCAACAATCTTAAACATACACATGATTGGCATATGTCATTGTTTTAGTTCAAAATCTTAGCAACCCAACGGCTCTAAACATGGAGGTTTATGTTGACGTATCTTGTCAGCAATGGAAAATCAAGGGAGGGGTGATATGATATAAACATTTAGAGCATAATCCAGTAGATTGACATATCGTGTGGGCCACATTAATATTATTTACAGTTTTATAAATTTTTCAAACCAATTAATTTCTGAAGAGTTGCTATTGGACCATGCCAATGTGATTTTTCACTATATTCCAAATGAGAGCCTTGTGAGGCAAACATGTGTTACGTCTCTCTGCTTTGCATGCATGATCGTGTTGCTCTCTGATTGGCTCATCACACACACACACGCACACTCTCCATGCTCTTTCCAGAAACCCAATCCAAATCCTCTGATACAATTCAGAAATCCCATCTCTATGACAAGGCCCAGCCATCAGTCTTCTACAAATCTTATCCTTGAGGCATTTTTGGTAAGATCGGTCTTTGAAATCTTTCAAGAAAAAGTCTTGATCTTTCCAAATTCAATTCGATTTGATGCAATAACAATGCTGGCTGAGGTGAAGAATTTGCAAAACAACGACTCCAAATCCATTACTCTTTGGTATGTTGTTGCTATTTTTGTGTCTTTTATTTCTATAATTTTGATGGGTATTTGCATCCACCTCTTAATTAAGTTGCCCTTGTTCTGTGCTGACCAAAAAATTAAAAATAAATAAATAAACTTTGCTCTGTTTCTGTGATCAGTGTAAGAAAAGATTCAATCAGAACTGCATCGCTTTCAAATTATGAAAGTTGTCATTTTTAAAGATTGGAAGCCAATTTGGGGAATTGGGTAATTTTTATGATCCCATCTATGGATGGATTTACAGGTCAATTAGTCTAATAATTATGCATACTTGTTATCCTTGTCATGGATAAATCCCAATTCCCACATGTCATGTGTATGATTTACTATTACCAGGCTTAACAAAACCAAGGGTACTCTGCCTCATGAAGAAGATGAATTAGCCAAGGCAATACAAAAGAAGATTGCAAGGAAGAACATGACGGAAAGCAAACCAGCTAAAAATGCCACTCCCAACAAGACTTGCATATGTGCTCCGACCAACCACGCAGGCTCGTTTAAGTGCCACCTCCATCGGATCAGCGTTGCGTGGTCGGTAGAAGACAGTCGTAGCAGATCAAAGCTGCAATGCAAAGCAAACTTCAATGCCAATGCCAAGAATGGTCTTCATGATGTGGTTGAGAAACAGCCGAACCTATCGAGATTCGGCAGGGCTGCCTCTGCAAGAAGTTGCCGTGAAAACCTTCCTTACACAATGGCTGAGCAAGTTAATTGATCTGTTCTGCAAGGTTTTAGTTATGGTTCCTCCAGTTGTTGTAATTTGTAAATGACAATAGTTTTAGAAACTTTTGCAAGTAGTTTTCATGTATTTTGTTTTCATTCTTCTTCTTATGATCAGCAGCGTCTCCAATTTCAATGGATTTTCATGTTTCTGATTCTTAAGAGGAGTGTTTCATCATTTTGAGTTTCATCAATGGATAGATATGCAGCAAAAGGATCAAAATTTGGACGAAGATGATGATCAAACAAAACAAGGGTCATGAAACATGAAACAGAACAATCCATATGATATTTTCGTAATTAAACAAATATTCTTTTCAACCTTGTCATATGAATTGTTCATAGAGATATAGCACACGACACGTTATGCTTTCCTATGTTATCGCTTTATAAAATAAAAAAGAATTATGTGACACATTTTCAATCGGGCGGACGCACATAAACATCAGTATGAGAGGGTGGGCCCATTTGTGCACCCCACGGGCCCACCAAGAAGAAAAGCCCTAAGAAATAAACCCTAGAAGAACCAAGGATATGGCGTGGTGGCCAGTGGGAAATTATATATATAGCATATATAAACATAAATCGGCCAAACTCTTGTGCAGGGAAATTGATAAACTTTGATGATGGCCTCTAACCTGAAAACAATGGTGGCTGACTGTGACTGGTCGGATCTTCCTCAAGAACTTGTTATCTCCATTGCCAACCGGATAGTTTTGATGGAGGATTTTACTGCTTTTGGTGCGGTTTGCAAATCATGGAGATCAGCCGCCACCAAGGAAATTTTCACCAGTCCATTAACACATCAGGTTCCATTCATTATGCACCCAGTGAAAGATGCAGCTGGCATGCTTGAGTTTTACAGCTTCAAAAAAGATAAGTTTCTCATGATCAATCTGCCAGAAGGTGAGGACGAAGTATGCGGTTCTTGTTTAGGATGGCTGATCACTAAACGAGGAGATTCGAAATTTAATCTGTTGCATCCTTTAAATCATTCCCGCATTAAGTTTCCAAGTTTTAGAGATTCTAAGGAAAACCTTTCACCCTTAATAATCATGTCAAATTTTGATTTCCAAAAGAGATTTGTCTTATCATCAAGCCCTTCTTGGACATGTGATTATACAATCATGGTTCAATCTAACTCTAGACTCTTGGCATTTTGCAAACCAACTGAACATAAATATTGGACAGGTATAGTTTTAGAGGAAGAGGCAAGGGACATAATTTGTTACAAGGGACGATTTTATGCGGTGAGCGGTGATGGGAGCGTTTGGGTTTGTGACACCGAAAACCCTAAGCAAGCAAAGGCAAAGGTCGTTGTTCCAGCGGTGCCAGGGGAAGTTCTGCCTTCAGCTCTTAGAAGGGTAAAACTGGTGGAATCAGCAGGCGACTTATTAGTGGTTTTCACTAACGGATTCAGAGACGACCTTCCAAGCCCTAAGTTTAGGGTTTTCAAGGTGCCTTTGAGGGATGGCAAGTGGCACTTAGACTTGGAAGTGAAGGACTTGGGTAACAGAACCCTATTTTTGGGTCGTGATAGTCCTTCATTCTCTATTGTCAGCTCGGACTGCTCTGGATTCAAGCCCAATTGCATATACTTTTCATTCGCATTATATGGGGTTTTCAGTGTTTTTCATATGGAAGATGGAAGAGCTGAGGAACATTTTTGGTCCCATTACTGGCGGAAACCGTCTTACTGGATTCAACCGAGTTTCTAAGGGGAAATCCTTATCGTTAAAGGCTTTTTCTTTTGTATGAACTACAAAGAGCATGGCCAGCAGAATTCACCATGGTCGGTTGAAAACGGTAGCAGAAAGCTGCAATGCAAAGCAAACATCCGAAGCTATCCAGATTTGGCAGGGTGCCTCTGCAAGAACTTGCCATGAAAACCTTCCTTTTCAAAATGGCGCTGAGCAAGTTCATTGATCTGTTAGGTTTTGATGTTCCTCTTGTTCTTATGTGGAATAATCCCAAAGGGTTCCATCTCCAATTTCAACGGATTTTCATGTTTCTGAAAGTTGTAAATGAGTGTTTCAGCACAAAGAAGAAACTTTTGAAGATAATACAAACAAGATATTAGGTTCAGGATTGCAGGTTATATGAATGTATAGAACTCTGCTGATAATGGAAAGCTATGTCGTCATCTATCTATGAGGTCCAAAACTGATTGTATCAAATTCGTACCTTGAATGGCTCGCTATGGGACCGCTTGCTCCTGAAACACAAGCGAAACACAGTAAAATCAGGGCATGGATGTCATAATACAACACAATGGAAAATGGGATTTTACTCAAATAAACCAGTTGGGATTTTCAATTAACTTCTCTTCTTTCATATTAATTCTTGAAATACTGATTCTGAACTTACCGTTTCCTTGAGAACAAGGCGAGTGCGGCGCTTCAACTGTTCTCTGAGCTACTTTCGACGCTTGTTGGGGATGACGAACCGCTCACGTGGAGGTACATGATCACCGATCTCGTGGATTTCGCCGTCGATTATCAACCACTCGGACTTCTCCTTCGACTTCCTCATAGCCTGGGCCAAAGATTTGTGCCTTTGCTGGCCCCGGGAAGGGCCGAACTCAGTTCGGACCCACCGGATTTGGTTGACGGCGGCTTGATAGCATGAAGGTGAGTTCTTGAGTCGTTTTGCGAGGTTGAGCATTTGGAAACCGCGAAAACTTCCAGGGTATGGGAGGAACTCGAATCTCGAACTCAGTTAATATCCAACGGTCGCCAGTTACTCCAGCAATAGGCTAATAGCTATAGTGCGATACAGAGAAAAATTCACCGCCCACAGAACACTCCCTGGTTCAGTTTCTTGGAGAAAATGTGTGGGAGGGCTCGCTGTACTCTCAGAGCCGACGACATCCCTAGGGCTTGCCATCGCAGCCATGGCCCCGCCCGTCCGTACTGTTAACATGGACCGGTGAGCAAAACTCAAAACTCCTCCTCTTTTTTTTTTTCCTTCATTAATTTCTAATTCGAACTTTACTTTTCTCCTAGGGCGTCGCCGGGGTCGAATTTGTCTGTGGTTCGTAGAGAAGACGGAACAGCCGGCGACGGCGTTGTTGTTCACCGTATGAAATGGGAGCTGATCCCTAGTTTCACCAAGAAAACCGAGAAGCCCGTTCATTATAAGATGGTAATAGCAGTTGCTTTTGTGGCCGATCCCTAGTTCAAATTTGTTGTCTTTCTTAAAATTTCTTTATTGATTTTCCGTATAAGCAAGCTTGGGTTGCGTTGAGATGTGATTTATGTTTGATAAATCGGGTATAGCCGCACGGCTATACTATTCCGGCTGCTATACTATTCCTTAAAAAAAAGTATAGCCGGTCGGCTACTATACCTTTTTTTAAAAAGGAAAACCGGAATCTATCCCTTCGGCTATACTATTTCTTCAACAAAAATTTAAAAAGAACCACGTATGGCCGTTCGGCTAAAATTTGAATGCCGGAGTATAGCCGATCGGCTGTACTATGTCTTTTATAAAATTAGCAAAAGGGATTATAGCCGGTCGGCTATACTATTCCATTTAAAAATACTAAAAGCGGCTATACTATTCGTTTTAAGAATATTAAAAACCTAGTATAAGCGTCCGGCTATACTATTTTAAAAAAATAAAAATAAATAAATTATGTAATTACTTCAGAATAAATGAGTCCAAAAAAGCGTCCGGCTATACTATTTTAAAAAAATAAAAATAAATAAATTATGTAATTACTTCAGAATAAATGAGTCCAAAAAATAAGATATTGAAAAATGAAAAAAAAAAAAAAAAAAAAAACTTCTTCGTCTTCCTCTCACTCTCGTCCTCCCCCAATTTACCGTCAGACCACAACCAACAACCAACCCAAAGCCACCGACCACCACCGCTCCAAACCCAATCCCATCTAATCCCCAACTCGGACAGCCACTCTCTCTCTCTCTCTCTGAGACAATCCAAGGCAAGCCTAGTCGTCATTCGCATCACCACCACCATCTTCATTTCTCTCCTCTTGCCGTCTCTATGCCTCTCTCTGATTAAAGAACAAGTAAGATTTGGTTCTTAGGGTTTTCTTCTAATGATGGATTTTCCAATATTATCTTGTATTGCTGACCCGGCAGTGGATCTGATATAGGACAACCTCTCAAATTTTCCTTTTTCGACGAATTTGATTTTCTTTTGCCATCTTGATTAGATTCTCAAAATCCTTTTTCTTTTCCTTTTATTTGTAGCCCCAATTCACATTCACGTTTTCATAAGCAGAGAGTTGTGTAGGGGAATTGACAAACTTTGATGATGGCCTGTAACCTGAAAACCACGGTGGCTGACTGGTCGGGTCTTCCTCAAGAACTTGTCGTCTCCATTGCCAAACAGATAGCTTTCTTGGAGGATTTTGTTGCTTTTGGTGCAGTCTGCAAATCATGGAGATCAGCCGCGCCCAAGGAGAACTTTACCAGTCGATTAAAACATCAAGGCCCATTTCTTATGCTCCCACAGGAACATGGAGCTGCCATCCGTAAGATTTACAGCTTCACAGACTATAAGGTTCGCGATCTCAATCTGCCAGAAGCTGAGGGCAAAGTATGTTGTTCTTGTTCAGGATGGCTAATCACTTTACAAGGTTTGCAATTTAATCTGCTGCATCCTTTAAATCGTTCACAAATTAAGTTGCCTGGTTTTAGAGATTCTAGTGCAAAACTTTCGCCAGTAAGCATGACAGATTTTCATGCCATAAAGAAATTTGTCCTCTCATCAAACCCTGCTTGGACATCAGATTATACAATCATGCTTCTTTATGACTGTAAACAATTGGCATTTTGCAAACCAAGACAGGATCGATATTGGACAAGTATGGATTTAGGTTCACATCCAGTTGACATAACTTGTTACAAGGGACGATTTTATGCCGTGAGCCATAATGGGAGGGTTTCGGTTTTCGACATTGAAAACCCTACAAAGGAAGCAAAAACTGAGGTTGTTGTTTCACGGATGCCAAGGGAACTACTTGTACATATTTCTCCTGGTAGAGTGAAGTATTTGGTGGAGTCAGCAGGGGACTTATTAGTAGTTTCGGCTCACGAAGAAGGTTACGAACCAGCTCCTAAGTTTAGGGTTTTCAAGGTGCCTTTGAGGGATGGCAATTGGCAGTTAGACTCGGAAGTGAAGGACTTGGGTAATAGAACCCTATTTTTGGGTGATAATAATACTTCATTCTCTGTTTTGGCCTCGGACTACTCTGGATGCGAGCCGAATTGCATATACTTTTTTTCATACATATCTCAGCAGTACATATATTCCCGGCAGCCTCATAACTATCTCTTACCTTCAAGACAGAACATAGATATTGGTATTTTTCATGTGAAAAATGGAAGAATTCAGGAACACTTTTATTGGGAACAAAGACGTTTCCCTACCTTTGGGACACCTTGTTTGTGGATTCAACCGAAATTTTTAGAGGGAAATTCTTGCTTTGCGCCAACTACCAACAAAGTTACAGGGAGTTACAGGAAAAAACAAAGTCGAATGTGCTTAAGCCCTTGGGTTTAGTCCAAATGGTGAGTGAGGATTTTTTTTTTTGGTTTTTTGGAAAGTTACTTTACTCTTTGTAATGAAGAATATCAATGGAATTCTGCTGCTTCTGATTGGATTAAGGCTAATAGTGATTCTGTTAAGGAGGCTGATAGAGTGCAGGCTTTTTTTGCTTGGAACCCTCCTGAACTTGGCCCATTAAAACTGAATGTGGAATGGCTCTGGGAAGAGTGCCTCAGGTCTTATTGGAGCAGGAGGGGTTATTCGCGATTCCTCTGGTGTTTGGATTGCTGGCTTTGCTGTGAACTTGGGTCAAGGCCAGATTTTGGAGGTTGAGGTTTGGGGATTATATTTTGGGCTTTAGTTGGCCTTGGACAAAGGTATCTATAATCTTCTTGTTGAGATGGATGGTGCAATTGCTGTGTCTCTTGTTCAGCAAATTGGTACATTGAATTGTCACCCTCTTGCTGTGTTGGTGGATAGCTGTTGTGTTCTTATGAGGCGTATTGGCCACTGTCACCTTGCTTACGTTTACAGAGATAGAATTTTGTAGCAGATTGTATATGGCTAACTGGAGCTCCAATTTAGACCTTGGAGTTTGCTATTTTGATGATGTTCCTGCCCGGGTTACCTCATTCTTGGTGGATGATATGTTAGGCTTTGCTAAACCCTTGCTAGGCCTAGTTTGATTTGTATTAGTTAGTTAGTTGTTTCTTTTTGGGGGGTTTTTCCCTCCTTATTTCATCCAAAAAAAAGAAAAAAAAAAGAATGTCAATGGAATTCCAAAAAGTTACACCAAACAGCAAAAAAATTCTTGCTTTGTATTATATTTGCTACCCTCTTGTAACAGTTGAAACTGATATTCTAACGGGTATGAACCAGAGAAAAGTGCATCGTTAATGAAAACACAATCACACATTCGCTGAAATTCTCTAGAGGTCTGCCTTCTGATCTATTTTTGCCTGCAACCTCGCGTCCTTTGCATTTGTGTTAAAAGAAGATGCCTCTTTCACCTGTTTCGTTATTGAAACTGTGCGTTTTTGTGTGAAAAGGAATAAAAGTCACCCTTTTTTATTCTTCCACTTGAAAAATATGTATTTGAGTTTTAATCTTCATTCACATAGTTTAGATTAAATTAAAGTAAAATATATTTATGTAAAAAAAAGAAATTATTTCTCATGTGACGCCCTTTCACAATCGGGCTGGACCCACAAGCACATCTGACCTGAACACGAGATGGTGGGCCTATAAGACTGCTTCACAAAAGAGTTTTTCTACCATGAGTCCGTGCCCAAAAGAAAAATCCAACCCTAGCAGCATATATAAAGTCCTCACTATAGAATTCTTGATAAACATAAATCGGCCAGTGGGAAAGTATACATACAGCAGCACCATATAAAAACATAAATCGGCCAAACCCTTGCGTTGCAAGCCTCTCCTCTCTTCTGCACGTAGTGCTCCATTAAGCATTCTCTTTGTAAGTACACCATGTTTTCAATAAACACTGAGTTGTGCAGGGAAATTGGTAAGTTTTGAAGATGGCCTGTAACCGAAAAAGAAAAACCCTGATGGGGCCTGACTGGTCTGATCTTCCTCAAGAACTTGTTATCTCCATCGCCAACCGGATAGCTTTCATGGAGGATTTTGCTGCTTTTGGTGCAGTTTGCAAACCATGGAGATTGGTCGCAACGAAGGAAAACTTTACTGGTCGATTATCACATCCATTCCTTATGCTCCCGGGGAAAGATGGAGCTGCCATCCGTGAGTTCTACAGCTTCACAAAAGATGGGGTTCAGAAGGTCAATCTGCCAGAAGCCGAGGGCAAACTATTGTGTTATTGTTCAGGATGGCTGATCACTTTAGAAGGTTTGAAATTTACTCTGTTGCATCCTTTCAATCGAGCCCAAATAAAGTTGCCTGATTTTAGAGATTCTGATGGACGACTTTCACCAACAAATATGTCACACTTTCATACGGTAAAGAAATTTGTCTTATCATCAAACCCTTCTTGGACATCAGATTTTGCAATCATGGTTCTTTATGACCATAAACATTTGGCATTTTGCAAACCAAGAGAACATAAATATTGGACAAGTATGGTTTTAGATGAACATCCACTGGATATAACTTGTTATAAGGGACGATTTTATGCCATGTGCTATAATGAGGTTTTGGTTTTCGACATTGAAAACCCTAAGCAAGCAAAGACAAGGGTGGTTGTTCAAGCGTCGCTACGTCGACGTGTACATGGTTCTTTTGGCACAAAGACATATATGGTGGAATCAGCAGGGGACTTATTAGTAGTTTTCTCTTACGGAGATATATACCGACAAGCTCCTAGTTTTAGGGTTTCTAAGGTGTTGAGGGATGGGAAGAGGCCATCAAAATTGGAAGTGAAGGACTTGGGTAACAGAACCCTATTTTTGGGAGATAATAATTCTTCATTCTCTGTTATGGCCTCGGACTATGGATGCAAGCCGAATTGCATATACTTTTTTTCATGTATATATCGCCAGTACATATATCCCGAGTGGGGTGATTGGCTAGTACGTTCAAAAGAGAACATAAACATGGGTATTTTTCATATGGAAGATGGAAGATTTGAGCAGCATTTTGGCTCCCCTAGTTTTGCTTTGAAAGAAGCAAAATTCCCTACCTTTGGGACACCGTGTTTCTGGATTCAGCCGAGTTCCAAAAGGAGAAATCCTCTGGCAACTCTCAAGAATAAAGCCGTAAATCCTTAAGCTTGGGTTTGTCCAAATGGCGAGGGAATGTGTTGAAATGAGTTAGGATTATGATAGGTTTGTGGCATATTTTCTTTTCGTTTTTTCTTGTTCTTGCATTTGTTTATTTGTTTGTTTGTTTAACTTAACTGATTTAATTATTTGGCTACTTCTTCCCCTTCTAGCTATTTTCTTAAATTTTAACGGTTGTAGTTATTTGAAGGTTAACATTTGAATTCCAAAATGATACACCAAACACCTCAAAATTCTTGCTTTGTATTATAACTGCTACCCTCTTGTAACAATTGAAAATGATATTTGAACTGATGTTAACAAGAGAAAAGTGCATCGTTGATGAAAACACAAGTCAATATTCATACATGGCTTGATTTTGATTTATTAAAAAAAAACACTTCTAATTCTCTGAACAATTTAGCATCAGACTATCAAACCTCGTACATTTCCAACCCAATAATATTCATGGTCAGCCATTTCATCGACAAAATGTCGAAACTAATGCTCAAACCCAACCTTAGACGGTAAATTTTTCTTAGCTATGGCTGAAAGGGGTCTCCTTTTTTCTTTTTCTTTTTTTGGGTTCGTTTCTTTTATTATTTTTAAGCTCAATCTAACTGGTATGAACAAGAGAAAAGGCGCATCGTTAATGTTGAACAAGAAAAGAAAAGAGATATTTAGTGTTATACCCATTCTTAGCACTAATATTATAGATAAATCCTACACCATTGAATTTCTATAAACAAACCTAAAAAAAAAAACCAAAAAATGGCAGCTGGCCCTATTGAATTTAAGTTTGATTATTAAATTACTTTGATACCCTATTGAGTATTTTGGGGTTTTTATGAGGTTTTAGGGTTGAACTTGTTTTAAGAAATTGATGGCAGTTTTATAATTTATAAGAAGTTAAAAGCCTCTTTGTCATGTTGTAAATGGACTTTGAGAGTGTTTCTAAAGTCTACTTCATATAGGGTAATTTTATAATTTGAGCCCCTCTATTGGGCATAATAGTGAATCTCCCAAAAAAAAATGCACTTGAGCCCCTCTATTGGGCATAATAGTGAATCTCCCAAAAAAAATGCACAATCACACATTCATAGGCATGGAATAATGGATTTGAGGACAGAGGCACCAACCCCTCTCTCTCTCTCACACACACACAGGCAGAGAATGTGTACATATATGTACATATACAAGAATTATGAAACCTGCAAAGCTCTGACACGTGCAGTTAGCTCCCGAACTTGACTCCTCAGACGCTCAGGATTACAGAAGAAATCAACAAAGACACCCCGTTGAAGCCCGATTTCCTTGGCGTGATGTTTTACAATCTGCATGCCATATACCATTACGTTACATGTGAGTAGTTTATATCACCGATAACAGGATCGAGGTCCGGAAAGAGTTAAAACTAAACCAAACTATGGGTCTGTGTCTGACGGCGATTTCAAATCTGTAGCTAATTCAGTTGTATAACTTAAATAGAATATTAGTTAGGGAGCAACTAGAAAGATAACTTCGTTAATTTGTGTGTAAAAATTAGCCAAATTCTAATCATGTACGTGTTTGTATGTTTTCACCACATTTAACACCGAGTCTTGATCTTGAAAGCCTACAGCAAGACCTCATTTGTGCTCACAGTGCAAAATCATACTCCAATCAGGAGACAGACAGAGAGAAACATATGAACAACGCTCACCTCATTTTTCTTGCGATGCTCCAGTGTCACCTCTTCAACTGCAGCGGAGAGTTTTGCATTTATCTTCTCCATTTCATCAAGCTCTTTCATCAATGGCTGGAAGAAAAAGAAAAATATATAACCTTCGCATAGGAACAAAGGCAAGAACAGAAAATAAAGTGTAATGGTGAGGTCATACCCGAGGGGTCAGTATCGGTTGTGCGGTTGTTGAAGATGCAAATAGCAATTGCTGCAAACTTTGAATTAGAGTGCACCTAATACAAATTACAAAGAAATGAGATGCTTTCCCATAAAAAAGGGATGAAGAACACACACAAATTCATCATAGATACTTCTGAGCACAAAGCAGACAAAATTGGCAGCCAGAAAGAGTATTGAAATATACTCCAGACAATGCAAGGTATGTTAATTCATTTTCACACGCCTATTTAAAGGCCTAGTCAATAATTGTTAGACTAATACTCTTGATGATTAAGAAAAACTGGAGTAACTCACAGCTCATTGACACATCTATTTCTGTCCTCTGGAAGAGAGTTCTCAAGATCAGACTGTAGGGTCATCAAGTCTGAATGAAGACTAGATATCTGCTGAACAATACCCGGAGCTGATACATACGTTGATAGCCCAACTTGAGCATCTAATGAAAAGTGCAGATAAGCAAAAGAAAAAGGAGTAATAGGATTAATAGAAAATCTAACAAACGTTTACATTTATCCAAATTTAATGTGCTGTCATTACTTGAATGGATACTTAAAAGATCTCTGACTCCATGCAAAAAGTGATCCTGATCATCCACTCCTCCCTGTTCTTGTACATCAGATGCAGCTTGAATTAGTGCCAGGCAACGACCCTATAATGATAACAAAGGAACATCATCAGCCATTGTTAGGGGAAAAAATGAAGGATTGAAGCATGCCACCATAAGCAAGGTTTCCCAAATAATATGAAGCATAATCACTACCCAGTTCTGAGCAAATTCATAACAGTATTCCATTAAGATGTCTTATCACTTAAGTTTTGGGTGCATCTAGATTTTCATTTAACAGTAAAATGCACGATCTTATGACCAATAAACTATTTGCTTTAATTCCTTCAGTGAATAAGAAGGAAGAGAGGAGATATAGTGGGAAAATAACTAAAATCTAAGAGATAAGAGAGAATAATTTATAAAGGTGATAGATGGATTAATATATACCACACGGCCTTTTGTTGCTGATAGGTAGGCTTGCACCTCTGATTCAATAACTTTAAGCAAGGAGTATGCTCCGAGCATGTTTTTCTTTTCCAGCTGACAAGCTATTTTTAAGAACTGATGCCTTGCAAGCTGATTAACAAGATGATTTATAAACTGCCAAGAGAAATTGAAACAAAGAA